AACACACTGGATGTCAAATCGGAGTTGGTCTATATGGAAGAAAAAAATGAGAAAAAATTCTAATAAGGCACGTTGAAGCATCTCACACAGTAACAGGCATGTGTACTGTATGTATCACTGATGGAAGGTGTGTGTGTGTGTCTCTGGGAAAACACTGTAGCTGTAGTTGCACACTGTTCTGTGCACTGATTGATGGTTGCTGTCCATGCAGGCCTACATTTTTGAGTGGATTGGAGTCATAGCACATGAGCAAACACAAGATGGAAGACTGTGGAACTCTCCACTACAAAGAATAGCAAGACTCTCTGCACCACATACACACACTGCGAAGAAATACAAACACACGCGCGCGCACACACACACACACACACACACCACACCCACAGATCCACTTCCCCACCTCCAGTGCTTGAAGATCTACCTGCCAGCTGCTGCCAGTCGCAGGGAAAGATGGGCTTTGTTGGTTTTGTGAAGCCCACCGACAAGACCCCCCTGGAGACTGCAGGTCTCCAGCAGCACAAGCCTCAGCCTTATCCACTCCGCCGCACAGGCAATCTGTTTTCTATATTGCCAGCCTGTATCACTGTACTATGCACTATAGAACAGCAATTGAGCAGGAAATTAAGTTAGGGGATCGGTATTTGGCGGAGGAGAACGAGCTGGTGTGGTCTTCCCTCTCCACATACAAGGATCATTAAATATCACACGAGTTTCTTGATAAATTCCCTCTTCTCCTCTCTCTCTGCTGTTCCCATCAACTCACTCCCCTCTTCATCTTCTCCTCTCTGTCTCTCTGTCTCCTTTCTTTCTTCCTCAATTTCCCTCTCATCATCTGCCCGTTTCTGTCTCGTCTTGCTGTATTTGTAGAGAGTATGAAACAAAACATCCTAATGGATGTTTGAACAGCTTGAGATGTGTCGGCCTGGGAACTACCTCCCTGTGACAGGGAGCTCTGGCAGGGAATTGAGACCTTTACAAGGGGAAAATAGGGGACATATTTCTTTCTTTTCTTCTTTGTTTATTTCTTTTCCTCTCTCTGGGTCCTTCTCTGTCACCCGCCCTCCCTCTTTCTCTGTCTATTTTTTCTCATTATTTCTCTGTACATACAAACAGAGGACAGACTAAGCTTTTTTTGGATTACCAGATGTGGAGGATCCATTTTTTGCCTTGTTGTCTTTCCTCCTCTTCTTTCCCCCTGTCCTCTTCTGCCTTTCTCTTATACTTATTAGCCTTAACTGTTTCGGTGAGTGACTGTGTGCATGTGTGCAAGTGTGAGAAGTTAGTAAGTGAGTGAAGGGAGAGGAGAGAAAGCGAGCTAGGTCAGGACGTTACTGTTCAAAATCGTAAAACTTACAGCTTTCATTGGAGCAGTGGCAGTTCCGGTGAGATGGATGAACATCAGCGTGCACATACACACACACAATCTCACACAGCAGTTCTTTTTTTTTTTTTTTTACTCCTGTGTGAATTCTCAGTTTTATTTTCTGGCACAAAAAATGACTTTTTTGTTTCTTTTATTAACTTCTTAATCATAAACCTCATTATCAAACTAATAATTAACTTATATTTCAAATTACTTTTAGGTTAATTTTGGGTATTCAAATGCCCCAGATCTCAACGTATTAATGAAATGTATATTCATAGAAGACATTGATTCCATTGCTTCCTCTTCATAGTTTGAATGTTTGAACGGACTCAAGGGGACCGCACCACATTTTGTGCCGGACACATTAATACAATTTTAAAAAGTTGTAATGTTAATGTTTAAAGACTTGTTTTAAATTACCTAAAAATATACATATTTGAATGTTTTTTATATTTAATGAGGCTTCCAACTGAAAACATTTGTCCTCATGTAAAGACATGGCTCATATGGAAATGATTATCCCCCATCCATGACTGACATTTTACATTTTTTGCTCGGGACATTGTTTTTGCACAAAGCCGGGAGCAGACACAGGTTTCCCTACGTCCATCCACAAAGACAGCAGCTGACACAGACACACATTCACAAGGACGAACCGCTCTTACTGCTACCATCTACGGCCAATCAGTAGTGTTGACAGCTAAATTAACAAGTGCTACAAGCACCATTACATTTGGCTCCTGATTGTGTAACAGTGGATAGACATAGCAATACACCCTCAGACAGATAATCATAAATAAATCAATATCTATAAATAAGCGAATGAAAAGAAAAAATATATAATGCTCTGGAGGTAGATTTATAACCATCACCGGTCACATGGAGAACACACACACACACACACACACACACACACACACACAGCACTCAGGTCCTGTGCAGTGGTCAGGTTAGTGGGAGGCAGTCAGAGAGATAAGGCGCCAAACAGGTCTAAATCCCTCCTGAAGCGGTCTTGATGGACAGACAGGCCACCATTAACAATGCGGTGGCTTGTGAGAGCAGCAGCTGATGGAAAGATACCCTGGCATTTGCTGTGTTAAGAAGTGGCCCTTAAAGATTTCACACTTCCAATTTCTTTGAATTATCTGCCATCTCCAGCCTGTCACTCAGCCTGACAATCTCAGATTCTTGCTCACTGAGGCACCAGGCTGGTTATTGACAAAGCAATCCGCCGTGATACAGCAAAGCCTGATAAAACATTAGTCAAACAACACGACGTGCAACTCTAGACCCACCTCGCACATGGGTGGATGCTCACACTCTACATTTCTATTCATAACAAAATACACCGTGATTCACACAGGATATTGAGCTGGGTTTCAGTACAGTATAGCGGTGTTCTCAAACATTGCATCAGGCTCACGGGTGCCTGTAGTCTTTGTAGAACACCATACATCTGTGTTTTGGTTTGACTTAAAACTTTGTGGCAATGTAGCAGAAAATCTCCGTCACCATGTGCTGGATTGTAGCATACAGAGCAGAATAGATTTGTTAAGGTCCACCTAAGGCAATGATGACAGCCAATGCCAGTATGACACTGAACAGACTGCTTATCAGATCTTTAATGATCTGATTCGCTTGCTGCTTCAGACAGGCCATGATAGAAATATCACAACATCCCCATTACCCTCAGCATTCAGTACATAGTGCACAGCCTGTGCTTTCTATGAATTATTAAAAGCAGACAGATTACGCTGCAAGGCTGGAAGTCCAGAGGCATGCTACAGATGCTGCCGAGCAAAACGGTAACATCAGAAGTGTGTTTTTGTTCTTTTTTTCATAGAGGGGGCTTTTTTTTTTTTTTGAAGAGGTCTGCATCAGATTAGAGAGGTTGGCCGTTTGGATAGGAGTACAGTACATGGAAAAAGGAAATGGTAGGTGGGGTTTTGACGTTTGTGTATGTGTGTCTGTTTGTTGCGACGGATGATGATGAGGGTGAAGGGCATAGTGTCAGGGCTTGTCTGACATGTGGCCTAGTGGGTTGGCTGGATGGTTGGTTTGCTGTCTTGATGGCTGGTTGGGTGCAGCCCAGCTCAAGCCTGGCAACTCTCTCTCCTTCTCTGTCTCTCTGTGTGTCTCTCTCTTTCTCTCCCTCTCCCTGGAGTGACGGGCTAAGACATTAAGACAGGCGTTTTAATTAACTGTGCCACTCTTCCACCTGCTGCCCTCAATATGCTCCGGCCCAGGCAAGCTGTCTCTCATACCACTGACTCTCTTGCTCTCCTTTTGCACTATCTTTCCCATCTCTCTATCATTTTTCGGCTCTTTTTCCCATTCCTTCTCCCCTTTTCTTTCCAATTTTCAAATCTCACCCTCCATCACTCCGACTTGCTCTCCCTAACCTCTCTTTTCTCTCCCCTGTGCCTCCCGCCGCAGTTTGACCCTAATAAATGAAAACTCATACCAACAGATAAGGCGATACCATGAGGCTCATATGACAGAATTAGCCAATTTCTTTTTTTGAACTTGCAGAGAATTAATTTCTACATGTGTCCTGTTCTACTGACCCTCTAACTACCCCCAGCCTATACCACACACACATTTACGCTGCACACACACTCTCACGCTCTTCAAATCTATCTGGTAATTCAGCTCTGCCCAACACTCATCAGGCTATTCATTATGGCCTGATTGGAGATGGATATTTCTGTTCCCTCATGACAGAATGGAGCTAGGGATCAAACTGGGGACATTACAGGATTTAGAAGAGCAAATGCAACACACAGCAGCTTTGTGCGCGTGTGTCTGTACACTTTGGACATGTGTGTGTGACTGCGTGCTCATAAATGTTTGTATTAATATGTGTAAATGTATGCCTGGCTGTTTAAGACTCTCATTTAGTGCTGTGACTCCCATAGTTTAATCATTTAGATCATAAATTGAGAATTAATTCAAACAGAACGGAGCAACAAATGATCCACTTTTAGCACTCTACTTAAATTGTATTACACTTTTAATGGGGTTAATAATAGGCGGCATTAGCAACACAAGAAAACGACTCTACAAAGTGTTGTATTAAAAGGATTAATGTCCTCCCTCCAGAATTAAAGCCAGGTCTTGAAGATACAGCTAAAACTAACAAATGGCCCAGCTCTGGCTCCATGATGGGGCCTCAGTCGCGGCCGGACTACAGTAAGAAGACAGCAACAGGGGCCAATATATCAGCCAGGCAGACAGGGAGCATTCATTTGCTGTGTGAGGAGAAGTGACTTTGAAGTCTGCCGCAGTGAGGTGAAAGAGCAGCCGTGGCCTCAACCTCTGTGTTTATGTAGCCGCACTAGCCCTGGGAGAGCTCTTAATGAATGATGCGGATAGATGGACACCGCGGCTAAAAGCACACACTTGCACGTCTGTGTGAGGGCCAAGACACACACCAAGGATTTACGCATACTTTCTGCTGAGGTCATGGACATGATGGTGTGCACAGTACATGCAAGAATGTACTTCATGTCTGCATGTGTTGTGAACAGAAAAAAATATGTAGCAGCCTCAGGCAGAAGGCTCTGCTGAAATTTGTAAAAGTCCTCTTACACTGCATTTCACTAAGAGGTTTCAACCATAAGCAGAGACTAACCTGTTAGAAGCAGGCTATGCCAACATCCTCCAGCAATGTCTCTCACTGGCAAGCTTGGTGGCGTCACTTCCTCTGGGAAAAGGATGTTCCTCTTTAGGTTCCCACATGCGCGTCCACAGCCCCACTGAAACAACCTGCCGTCACCTGCATGCCATCGATGAGTAAATTAATTAAGTTTCCACTATGGCCAAAAAAGTAATCATGTGATCAGCAGATTATTTCTGCTAATTAATAATTATGCTGTAACAAAGTGACATTTGAGAGCTGTGAGTTCTCATTTCCAAAACAAATGCAGTACACAAAGGTGTTATCAGATAATATGACAGGTATATGAAAATATCAACTGATAGAAGATGTTTTGGCAGTTCCTCCATTAATTGCAAAAGGGCCTCTAACCCCCTGCAGCTCATCTTGCATCTCTCTCCAGCACGCCTCTAGGAGCATGTTGTCCTTGTTGTGCTGCTGCTGCATGGGGCCTCTGGTGATAAATTATGGATGCAACGCAAAAGCTGTAAAATTTGTTGTATCTTCCATTATCTTCATGTTAAAGGCCACAAAAGCTCTTCAGTGAAGTCAGCCATTAAGAAATGACAGGTATTGCTATCAGGCTTCTTTATAGCCTATTACCTGCAATGACAGCAGCTGCTGCTGCACCACTGTACGGCCTATCACATTATTTGCAGCTAAAGTCAGCTACTGTGTCATTTCGCCTCATTTTCTTGACAGTGCTATCATAAATCCATTGGGCTGCAGGGGAAACTGTCGACTACCTCGATTATCTTCATAGCCTGAATGAATTCTGAAATGTATGTAACAGGCAATGACTGTTATGGATCAGGAGCCAGGGCCATATTCTCGCTAACTCTGTCTCTCTCCCTCCTTGTCTCTCTCTCAGGTGATGTGCCGATCGAGGGCTTGAGGGCTCTGATATTCGCATAAAATTGAGTAAAGTAGGTGAACTTTGAAGCACACGGTGACAGCTCATGAGAAGTGACATCAGTTCCATTTCTTTAAGATATCGTCCAGCTGATTTGTGCTGGTGTGTTTGATGAAATAAAAAATCTAGCATAATAGGAACAGGGTCAACGATAAGATCCACTGGAGCATATCATAGAATTGAATAAAATATGTGGCATACGTAGCATGTAGGCATTTAAACATGGCTACATTCTTAAAAGACAAATATATAATCTATTTAACGGTAATATGTCGAGTGCATGTTAGGCCTGCACAGATGCACTACCATACCTGTCAGCGCAAGATTGTGGTTTGCCCCACAGGTGACCTTCGACACATGGTCCACGCGCTCAACAAAGCGGGGGACGACCACAGTTTCATCAGAACCATTGCCAATTTGTCCATAATCATTGTGCCTGCAGGGAGAAGAATATAAACACATAATTAAAAACATAATTAATTACCTGTGGGGCATCATCTTCATACTGTTTTATCACATTTTAAGCTATATACAGCACTGTTTCAAAGCATGAAAATATTGCACACCTTTCAATTTCTATAGGGTAAAATAAATAATCAAATCAATTAAACTATTGCAGTGAGCAGCTTCCACTGGGGACAGTGAACATATGTGTTTCCTCCCATTTCTACAAATCCTCTTTGTGACAATAACGAGACACAGCCCTATCAGAAGTGAAACACCTCACTAACTAATTAGACTCTCAGGCTGCAGTCTGACAAAATAAAAAGAGGAAAGTGCTTGAAGGAAGACTTGCTCTCCCGCAATTTGCATCTGCCACTTTTTACTGCATCTGTTCCAAGTGCCATTCAACGTTCTCTTCCTCCTTTTGTTGGGAAGTGTTGAGCCCCAACTATTTAAGCTCACCTCCTACCTACCCAGAGCTTTGTTCCTGCTCCTCTGCAGACCAGTAATGAGCCAACCGCCACAAAACCGCTAGGAAATTAATGACTCATTACGGATGGGGCCTAGACCGCTCCACAGCCTCTCCTCCTCCCCCGCTCCACCCCACATGCCCGCATGCAATCCTCTCTCTCTCTCCCTCTTTCTCTCTCTCTTACTCTCATCCCTTCAGCCCATACAGAAAGACCCCAACACCTCCCTATCAATTAGAGCCTATTACAGGGCTCCCATGCTAGCAGGGCAAAGAAAGAAGGCCTTCACAGCTCAAGAGTGTGTGCAGGAGAGATTGGGAGAGTTGAATGAGGAGCCTTAAGGTGCTCCTTTCACACCCTTGCCCTTATCCATTATGCCAGTCTGTAGAGCCCCCTAGGAGAAACGTGCAGCCCCAAAAAGACTTGGGGATGAAAATAAGTCAAGGGAGGGATTCTTGGTCACACCTTTTCCCTTTTCCTTCTACTCCAGTGTCAAATTATATCATAACTAGTCCTTAAGCAAAGCAACATGGTCACTGTGCTCCTCCTTTAAATGGAGTGTTAGAAAAAGATGGCGAGATCTGAATGGTATACATTAATCATACCATCTGTGTCTGTATTCATGGAAGGACAGACCGAGACAGATATTAACAAGATAAAGCAAATGGTGTACAAGCACCTACACATGAAAATTCATGTGGTTATTGATTTCTTTTAGTTCCACTCCTTTTTTGCCCTCCATTGCATTCCCCAGGCAATACCTACTTATTCATGGGACTGTTGGTCTTTGTTCAGACCAAAAAAATACTGTTCGACATTGCCAGCATTTTAGAATACTTTTTCTTTTTTTTCCTCCATGATAGGATATGTATCAGCTTTTCATTCAAGCATGCTATGCTCATTGGCTTTTGAAGCTATGGTGCATTTCAAGGCAATCCCTCTGAGAGTGAATGGGTGAGATCACATGGGTTTGAGGTGGTTTAGAATGGCAAATCCTGCTGAAAGTGTCATTTCCAGTCGGAGACATCAATTTGGTGTATGAAACAGGGCCCCAGGAGAGCCCGATAGCCTGGGAGATTCCTGACAAGAGCAAAGGGCCTGGGGATCAGCTCATACTCACCTGGATAAGACAGGAATTTCACAAAGCGCTTCAAATACATGGAGCAAAGTGAGAAAGGAGGAAGAGAGACAGAAACATGATAGACAACTTAGAAAAAAGCCTATAGAGAATGTATAAAGAGAGGAGCTGTTTAACATTACTTCTACGGTATATGATAGCCATTCTATCGAATACAGTAAATTACAGTAGCGCCATTAGAGTGATTTTTTTCTACAGAGGTTATTTAAAAAATTAGTTGCCAAAAAACAAAAACACTGTCCGGCAAAACTAAAGCAAATGACGTTAGAAGCCAGGCCACTGCTTGTCTTTTTTGACTTTGATATTATTGTATACAGTGGTTGTATGCATGTAAAAGAAATACACTAAACAGGAGTTGATCAATGACCTCCATCTGTGGGGAACTGTCAAAGCTCATAAGTATGGTTAATAGGGAGATATTAAAACACTGACATGCACAAATTAAAAATCTAAATTATTGGCAGCACAATTTCTGGCCAAACATTTTGGTAACTGTAAAACAGTGTACATAGGCAGTGGTATTAACTCTAATATAAAGCCTCAATTAGCTAAAGTGAGAGCAAAATGGCTGATAATTATTGTGCCAGCTCATTAGACTTGTTTTGACACTAAAACCACTTAAATCACTACACAGGCACACACCCAAGTGCAGATGCAAACACACACATGCAGATGTTAAGAGTTTATTCCCGTAATAATGAGGCAGATACTGTACAGGTTGGGTTTTACTTGTTTAGATAAAAATATAAACACTTCAACCTAGATTTAATGGGGTCTTACCAGTCACATGAGCAATTAATAAATCTGTCTATGGATGGCTAATTTAATGAACAGATACCTTCTAGAAAACCAAATGGTAAAGTATTGTCATGCACTTTGTCATAGGACTAGTTAAGATGCATGGGGGTGTATGTTTTAACAGTTTTTAAGGGTGGGACGCAGCAAAGTTTGCACAAAAAAGCTATAATAGTTTCAGTGCAAAAACCAATAATACAGAACAGGATGGCACTGTTTACTCTATTGATTTCATGAAAATATTATCTTTGAAATAGTGAAGAGTACAAAAGCAAGGCAATCGTCTGCTGTACCTGCTATACATCTTGGCTAATAATGACACAGACTCCTAAAGAATAAAATCCTTGGGGCCGGCCATGAAAGTTTAAGATTCAATGCGGTAAAATACAATGTGCTGTAAAATATTAATGTGTGTGGTAAAATTATGCTGGTGGTAATATTTTAGATTGCTGCTGTCTGTAAAAGAGGCATATCTGTATTTATTTACAAGCAGGAGTGGTGGATGGGGGGCTTTGTTTGAAGCCACGTTTATGAATATCGACTCAGGCTCCAAGGTAAGTGGCTATAAATCTAGGAGAGGATCTTTGTAAAGTTCCCTTGGAGGACATAACTTCAGGTCTAACCGCCTCCTTCCTTCACTTGACTTTTAAACATTTAGATGTAGCCCGGCCAACTGCATTTAGAGCAGCTGCTAAATTATGAAGGGTTCCATTTTGAGAGTCCAAGTGTTAACCAATCAAAGTTGATAAATTGTGGCAATAGATTTCTCTGGGATAGAAACAGAGGCGCATTCAGCCCTTGATCTAGACTGTTTATGAGTTTGGGGAATACTGTAACGGATCTCTGCACAACCTGCTATGTTCCAGATGTTGACTTGAATGTACTCAAAAAAAAAAAAACAAAAACAAAAGAGATCTACACCGTACACCCACACTCATTTATGCTTACACCAGATCCTATATGCTACACTATTCATGATTGTTCCTGCTATGCATATATCATTTAGCCAGATCTTTTTCATGCTAGTCTCTTTGGGTAAGATGATGAAAACTGTGGACTGACTTGAAGCCGAGAGCATGACCTGTGCTAATGAGAGGAGCATTACTTGTTGTATGATCAAAAGATCGTGTATCACATAGCTCATATCACCTTAGGCTATCAAGACCAGCTGGAAGAGTTCTATAGGTCCACATCGGATGAACCTTTAGTGGATGACTCATTCACACCTTCTTTTCTTTGCCATATCTTAGACATGTTTATCTGTTTATTTTGGTTCAAGGTCCCAAAGTTCAGATCACAGGGGTGATTGCATTAGTAATCGTGCTGCAGTTGGCTGACCTGGAGATGATGGACACAGAGGTCTGTATCCTGCAGCTATGATGATCACATAGCGGCCGGGATTAAGAGAACTGATTTCTTTCCTGGTTGAGTTCAAAGGGCTCAATCAAAGTGTTTCACTGCTGAACTCTCGCCCCCCACTTTAAATGCATGATTAACTGACAAGTGGTGATAAAGTTGAGCCCTGCTAAAATACTGTTTTTGTTTTTTTCTGCCTAGTGATGAAGGCAGCAACAGTTGATGTCACCACGCACTAATAAATGGCTGGAAAGCTGCATTGATCCAACCATCTAATTCCAAGAAAATAGCTTCCTCCTGAGCTAAATTGGAGAAAATTGACAACCTCCCATTAAAGCCCCATCTCTCTCTTTCACTCTGCTCTCTTTCTTTCTTCATTTCTTCCCATTTCCATTTCCATTTCTTTCTCCCCAGTGTGCCTCCTGCTTTCTCGGGGCTAATCCTTGCAGCCTCCTCGTTTATGTAGACCTCAGAAATCTCTCTCTCTCTCTCTCTCTCTCTCTCTCTCTCTCTCTCTCTCTCTCTCTCTCTCTCTCTCTCTCTCTCTCTC